AGGAGGATACATATGATGATAAATTTAAAGTTGGAAGTCTAGTATGGATTCTACTGTTTGAGGGTCCAGTTAAATGGGGGAAGGGTATAATAAGTAAGAATATAGGAAAAAAGAAAGTAGAAGTAGAGATTGAAGGGCAAGAAGGCACTTTTACTAGACACGTAAAACAAGTCAGACTGAGAAGCTTAGGGCAAGTAAAAGATATGGGAGATAATTAGAAGAAATAAATTGATGATAGACATTATTATGAGAATCATATTGATGATAAACTTAATTATGAGAATCAATTGTTAAAGAGATGAATTGAGGATAGACATAATTATGAGAATCATATTGATGATAGACATAACGATGAGAATCATAAATTATCAGGGAATAGTAGATTATTAGAAGATTATGAAAGATATATATATGCTTATAGTAATTTTATAGATGGCATCATATGTCAGAGTAGGAAACAAGATTATCAAAATGGAAATCAGGGAAGCAGATGGATCGGCTGAGTCAAACAGATGGATCGAAGCAGCAAGGGCCGAAGCACAACGAAGATACGGAGAGTTACTGCAGGAAAGACCCAGAAATCAAAGGTAGAACGAAGAATGGAGCCATATTGGGTTAGGAAGAATCGATTAGAATGTTGGGCGTGCGGCGGAATGCATAAATTAAGATTTTGTCCTACGACAGCAGCGTCCTCAATAAACGGATCTGAGTTGGAAGTGCGGGAAGGCGGGGTACTAACGAAGGGGGCCTTGGAGAGCTAATCTTAAAGGGTGGAGGTGTTATAGTTTGTACTTAATCTTTTAGGTTTTGAATATTAGAAGTTTAGTTAACATCATTATTATTATAAATTTGGTTCTCTATTCAAATTTATATTTCAAATATTAGATTATAATTTTAATTATTATTACGATTAATTTTGTTCGTCATGCAAATTTATATTTCGTATATTAAATTATAATTTTAGTTAGCATTATTATTATTAATTTTTATTCGCCATGCAAATTTATAATTTTGAATTTTTATGAAAAAGGATTTTTAATGGCTAGCAAAAAATATATAAATAGCCAAGAAAAATAATTATAATACACCGATGATATTTTGATTATTAATTTAATAAAAGAATTTACAGACGATATTTTGATTATTATTTTGGATTTGATAGAAGTTGAATAAAGAGTAAAAGTAGTGAATTAGTATTAAAAAATTATTAATAATTATATATTTATTTATTTATTATTAGTTCCATAGATATTCAGTCTCTCCCACTAGCCTCAGCAATATAAATATCAATCCCATATTGGTACAGGAAATCTACTACTAGTTGCAATCAGAAGAATCTTAATCAAGATTTGCAAAATTATGCTGAAGATGTGTTCAACTTTACAGTTAATAATTGACAATAAATTTTATAGCGCCATTGCTAAAACTTAATTATATTTTATTTGAGATTTAAATAATAGAAATAAATGTTTACCGTCGTTATTGAGATATTTATAAAATTCCTGGCATGACATATTATATATTTGTTTGACCATTAGCTCGCCTCTAATGTTGTTGAAGCAATCCGATTTCTCTCCTTTATCCAGGCAGTCCTCATCAGGCTAAAAATGCGCTCGGATGAGGCATTAGAATGAGGTAGAAGACATACTCGCATATTTTTTCCAAGCATGGGGATTTATCATTATTACGAAAAAATTTTACCCATTTCTCCCCTGCTTTTAGACCATCTAACTTTAAATATTTTGGCGAATCATAAAAAATAGAGAGAATTACAATCTCCTCAAAATAGACATCAATATCTTTCGGTATTTTTAATATATTTATTAATTTCTGTTCCAAGGTCATAATATTTATACATTTGTAAATAGAGTTATTAAAATCAAATTTTGATTGTAAATATTCTAAAATTGTCTTGATAAAAATATCTGCTTCATTTAAAAATGTATTAATTATAGTATTATTTGAACATTTTAATATAATATTTTTAGCAATAGCGCCATAAAATTTATTATCAATTTTTAACTGTAGAGATGAACAGAGCTGTAGCATGATTTTGTGAATTTTTTTTAATAAAGAATATTCTGATTGCAACTGAATATTAACTGCATGAAGTAGATTTCCTACATGAGAAACGAATCCCAAATATGCTTCTGCCATTTCATACTCGAAAAAATTTTTCAAAATTTTAGGACAGCTTTTAAAATCTCTATTTAAGAAGCTTTTTTTAGGGTTTGTAAAATTTTAAAATTCTATCGATGGCAGGTATTAATGACAACCACCTAATAGATATACATCGCAACACTCACACCATTTCGAGTCAGACCACTTCACCAACTCTTTTAATTCATTAACTATTTTAGTTGATGAACTAAATTGATTAAAACATTTCATCATAATTATTTCGACATCCACAGATAGTACATTCATTACCTTCTTGCAAGAATAATGTAGTATATACAGCCAATTGGTATTAATTCATTATTATGCTGCCTCAATTCGGTAACTTTGGTTTTTGCCAAAATTTACAGAGGCATTATCAGCGCAGAGAGCTGACATGCAAATCATTGATAACCCTAAATTAGCTATATTTACCATCATGTGGCTAGCAATATTGTTGGATTTTTCGCTATCCGAGGAAAAAATTTCAATAGTTTTTTTGAAATGTTCTTATTCTTGTTGAAATATAGAAGGGGGAAATGTTTTAATATTTCCCTTATTAGATGCATCTGTTAGAATTGCATATGGATGCCCATCTTTCAAATCGTCTAGAATTGACCTCTAGGATTCAGGTACTAAAACACATGAGATAGCCATGCTCATTTTTGTTCTGCCACAAGTAAGGTTTGCACTTATATTGGAGTCGTTAAATATCATGAGAGGTTCGACCCACATTGTGATGATATAGCTCTGTGAATGTTGAACTACATGATAGATGTATACGATTTCCGCAAATGTAGTTGCATCTGTATTATTTATTATTTTTTGAGAATATTTTTGTATTGCAATCGATGTAGATATACTCCCCTGTACTGACTTATATGAATGAAAGATTTATTATTGGATAAAAATAAAACAGGATAGAGAGATATTTACAAACTAGACATGTTTTTCGAATAAATATTTAAAATTTATTTTAAAAATATAAAAATTATCAATTAATGTCTCTCAAAATTATTATTTATATATTAAAAACGTTAAAATACTATAAAAAAAATTGCGGGAGATTTTTGCGGGAGATTTCCAATTGCGGTAGTTTTACGGGAGAGAGATGTCTGCGTGTTAACTAAAAAAATTGCGGGATTCTCCCGCTGATGGGGGGAGACATGGCAACCCTGTTCATATACCTTAAACTATTGATATAATTCATACATAAGCGAAGCCAGGGCCCCCCCCTCCTTCAGAAGTTTATCACTTTTTGTGAATATCATGTTAAGCTAATAAAAATATCCTCCTTAGTCCTCTCCTCACCCCCTGTCCCCCAAATATGTATGCATATAATATTAAACTATTGATTATAATTCATACTTTTTTGGAAAAAAAGCAAATTATATATAAAAGAAGTGAAACCAAAAAGTTTTTTAGGAAATGAAATATAAGCCAAAGATAAGTCTTAAGACAAAAGTGAAATGTATTATAATTACTATTAATAGATACATAAAATTACGAAATAATATAATATCTCAAATATAATTTTTTATATTTTCTTAATAAAATAAAATATAATTATAAAATTATTGATAAAATTAAATTATAAATTAAGTATAAATTAACGCACAATACAAACAGTGGAATATTATGTCGTAGATTTACAGTATATCTAATTTTATCTAATATCGTATGAAAATCAAATAATCTTTACCAATAGGGAATTACATATTTTACAGAAGACTATAGAATATTGATAAGGACATCAGAAAATATCTTTTAAAGAATGTAAATTAAAAAATTATTCTATTCTTCAGTAGCGTTAATATCTAATAAGGAACATCCATTGTGGGATAAATAATAAGATGTTTAATTTCTAATAATATTTTTAAAAATAGATGGCGTTAAAAAATTATTTATTAGTAAAATTTATTAAAATATTAAATGTAATATATTCTCTAACTGTCAAATATATCTGTTAAAGTGGCATTTTACCTAATATTTTGCAACCAATTCTATATAATAGAGAAATATCAACTATATGTCTACTTAATTTTTATAAAGAAATTTCTTATACTTGTTTGGAATAAATTTTTACCACGTTTTTATATTAATGTATATACATGTAATTTATTATATTTTATATAAACTAATAAAAATATATTTCTTATATGTTCCAGGCTTATATTTTGATATAATCTAAACCAATTTCTTATATTTTAAATAAAGATAAAATTTTTTAAATTAAAATTAACATTCTATCTTGCAAAAAATTTTATGCGTATATATAAACTAAGAAAACCCAGCCGAAGACCGGGCAAAAGCGGGGCTGAGAATAAGGTCTGCCCCTTCCCCTATGTTTAGCATTAATTAATTGGTTTCAATTTTGTCATTTAAAAATCTCCCTCTATTATGCTAAGCAGCGCTTTAGCGAGACTTTTGGCGGCTCAGGGCAATAAAAAAAAATTAAATTTCTTAATGATAAAACACAGAAGGCAGAGAATATTTAATACAAATATTATAAATAATTTATTCTCTCTTTTTACAATTTTTATTAGATATATATATTATTATTTTTATAAATATTTACATATATTTAAAATAAGGATTTTATAAAATTAAGATTTGTTTTAAGGCCAAGAACAATTTGAGTTAATTTAAAGTTTGTACATATATAAAAAGAAAAGTACGAAATAACATTTTTAAAGGTTGTACGAAATAACTTTTTAAATGTTACTATTTAACACTTAACTAAAAACAAATGAGTTTTTTTTAACTAAAATATAAAACAAATTTTTTGTTATAATACATATGGCTATACATATCAAATTTTTTCTCAAAATTCATAGATTTACAAAAAAGAAACAATGCCTTGCTAGTATTTAGTATATACAAAAAAATTATTATTCTTAAAAAGCTAAAAATAGTTGAGTAAATTAGAAAATTTGTTGATTTCGGCGGGGTGGCTGCCTCGCTCGCTACAGTCTGCACGACTCTGGAGTTGAAGGTATACGTTAATACCAATATCTTAGCAATTTGACCAATAGATCGATATTCATATACAGATATACGGATGGATAATTATTTCTGAAGAGGGGCACTCATTTATTGCAGGAACCCATTGTGGGATCATGAAGTTCTGTTAGGAATATCTATCTAGTGATTTGCTATTTGTTTTTTAGGACACCTAGTTGCATACGCGCCTATCACCTTACTTAGACAAACAGTCATATATTCATACACTCTCCCCGTGGACAAAATTCAGATAATAATAATTTTACCAGTGATATTCCGTTTTAATGATAATATCGATTTACATTTCTAATTATTTAAACATAACCCAGTTAACATGAGATAATCATAATTGAAAACATACATAGATTATAAATAACATAGCCGTAGCCAGGAGAGGGGCAAGAGGCTCCCTCTCCCCTCAAAAATATGCCTATTTTCATGAATATCATTTAAACTAATAAAAACTTTCCTCCTACGATACCCCCATCTTCCTCTCTTAAAAAGAGGTATATAATACTGCCCTAAAGAAAATAATTTAAAAGGAAAATAAGCAAAAGTAAGTTTTTAAAATAATGACTATAATTATAAATTTTCAGAAAAAAACATTTTTATAAAATTATTTAAAAAAAATGTAACATCGTCAAAGGCCGGCCTTATCAATTAGGTTATTAGGGGAATCTTAGCGCCCCCTGGCAGATTTATGGATATGATTTAATTTATAAATATAAATACAGAATTTACCCTTGAAAAAAGGAAAAATTATGATAAAAAAAGGAAAAGGTCCGGTCATAAAATGACAAGTGCTAAAGATTTAGAAAAGATCCCAATCAAGCGAAAAATTCCGATCTAAAAAATAAAGTGTTCGATCTAAAAAAGAAAAGTATCAATCAAAAATAGAGTCCAATAAAAAATGAAAAGGTTGGATCATAAAGGGAAAAATTCTAAGAAAAACAAAAGGTTCAATCAAAAAGGAAAATTTCCATTCATAAAATGAAAATCATTAATTTATCATATTTTCTATATATTTTTTTAAAAACATTTTTTAATTAATATTTAATTTTGTGGATTTTTAATTTTCCTTTAATTTTTATTTTTACTATCTTTGTTTAATTTTTTATATCATTTTTAATCAATTTTTATCATCTTTTATCAATCTCTTAAAAAAAAATTCTTCTCCCTTTTATTTAAAAATTCTTTTTGTCTTTTTTAAAATAATTTCTTTTATATCCCGGTCATCTTTTTTCTGTATTTTTTGTTCTAACCATTTTTTTAAACCTTTATCTTATTAAGATTGTGTAAAATTAGTAATTAAGTACTATTTTAAGATTGAATAAATTTTAACTACAATACTAACGAATAAATTACTATATATAAAATAAAGACACCTGTTAGCACAGAGGAACTTGTCAAAAAATATAATTTGTTCAAAATATCTGGGACTGACTTAAAAATAAAATTTTTTTAAATGATGGGCTTTATTTTTTATTTTTAAACAACCCGGACAGCCCATATTCATATCCCGCAATTATAATGAGATGAAAAAGAAAAAGAATGAATAAGCATGACAAAAAGTATGGAGAATGGGAAAAAGATGATAATTAAAATAAAGAAATTATTGAATAAAATGATGATTAAAGATTATAGAGCTATAAACACAAAAATAATTAATAGAAAATAAAAAAAAATTGAAAGGAAGATAAAAATAGGAATAAGAAGGAAATATAATAATATCAATAAATATGGCAAAAAATGACATAAAAAATTATTATAAATAATAGTTTTCCATTTATGAACAAAAAATTTTATTTTTTGATTGAACCATATGTGGGACTTTACTTTTTGATCGGACTTTTCAATTTTTGATCGAACCCTTTTCTTTTTAATTCAAACTTTTTCTTTTTTGATCAGTTCTTTCCTTTTTTGATCGGGACATTTCCTAAGTCTTTGCTATTTCTCCATCTTTTCTTTTTAACGGGTGATACTTTTCCTTTTTTGATCCAACCTATTCATTTGGGTTAGACCTTTTCCTTTTTTGATCATAACTTTTCTTCTTTTGGATGTGCCTAAAGCATGATATCCTAATTAAATTTTATGGTTGGCGAAATGGATTGAAAATTAATAAGTAAGATTAATAAATATTAACGACAAATTGATATTTATAACTTCTGTATTATCCGTTTTGGCATGATGCCGATTTTGGTAATTTTTTTAAATTTTCCCCTTATATTTATCAGATTAGAGAAATCAAGCACGATTTAAATTTCAAAATTAGTGCTTCCAAAAACCTAGCTAACTTCGTGCTTTCATTATAACTCGGTTTCTTTTTTTGTGGTTCTCAAACAAGTACCAGTCTGGCCTTAAATATTAGCTCAAACTAGATACTTAACACTTCTTAATGTTCTATATATAAAATGATGCTAATTTTGGCATTTTTTTCTTATTTTGCAAATAATATATTTTTTTAACAGAAATGGATTAAAATAAAAATCAGCACAATATTGAATAAATTTTAGAATTAATGACTTAAGTCGCTATTTAATCGCTAGTTTGGCTAAAATTCTGATACTTATAATTTTTTTATATTGGTTACTATATTAGTTAATGCACTCATAACATAAGCCCAAATAAATCACTAAATATTGGCATAATTTATAATTTGTGTTTTTCATTATTACATAACATTAACAGATATAACATAATGATAACATATTTTAAAAAAGCAAAAAAAAATAACCACTGGAAAATAAAAACTAATTAAAGTTTCATAGGCGAGACTCGACAAAGGCCGGATAAATGACAGTTTGAAAGTACCTCTTTCCCTCTTAGATGTATTCTGCCTATGCCATTGACCCCAGAGTATATATAGTATATGCAAACTTCTATCATCGTTTATTATTATTATTGCATATTAGATATAAAATATGAGGAATTTTCTACTGGAGAAAATGAAACATTTTTCTGAGAATGTAGAGAAAATTCCATGCATTTACATTTCTATTCCATAATTACTGATCCTTTGTTGAGACCAATATTTTCTACCCTCCCACCCCTCATATGTAGATACTGAATAAGATGCCTGATGAGTAGAGGAATAGTGTGGTAATCCCAATATACAAAGGAAATGATGATGTCCAAAGTTGGAGTAATTTTAATAATAGTATAAAATTAAAATTTAATCATTGAAAGTACTAAATAAAAAAAAATTGACAAATCGCTTAAGAGAGGAGACACATGTTTTAATTGTAACACTATCAACCCCATAGCAGAAAAGTATGAAGGATTTAAAAAGAAGATTGACTCTATATTTATGATTTTATTTGGAAAAGGAAGTTAATTTTATAATATATAAAGATAAAAGAATATTCCAGAATATTATGATAGTCTCATCAAAAATATGCAATAAATAATACAAATATTGGAACTACTAGAGGGATTCGAAAAATTTGCATATTGAGGTTGGATTACATTGAGGATCAATTTTAAGCATTCTCATCTTATACATGATAATGCAGGATTTGCAAGAACCAGGAAAATGGTGTTTGTTTCCCCATCATTTTTGTACTATGATGGGAAATAGAGAACAGATTATAAATGGAGCTAAGAAGTGGTTAGATGTTTAACAAGAATCATACATGTAAAAAACTTATTTTAATTTATATTCTGAATTTAGATATAAGTATCCCACACATTTTAGGACCATTAATAGTAACTAGTAATAACGAACAATAAGAAAAATTAAATAATAATCATTAATACATATTTTCACCATGATAAATATTCTATAAAGCTATCCAAATATAGCTTTTTATATTCTTTTCCTCGGTACCTAGAGGCTTCTATGCAAATATATGATTGTAATTAGTCAATATCATTGACTCAATTGATTAATATTAGTGTTTAGATAAATATCAAATTTTCTAACTTTTATTGAAACAAAATCCTAAATTACAATTACTGACAATATGATTATCCCCCCCCCCCCCTTTTAGAATATCCTTATAAACGAATCAATTATTTATGGAACTAAATATTAGCGATATTATTGAAATTTCGCTTATATTTTTACATATTATACAATCCATGGGAGTTACAAGAGTGTTATAACTAATATTTAAATAAATTACTATAAAGATGACAATATTTGATTGATCGTCGGGCCAGATGTGGGGCTCAGAACGAAAAAAAACAAGGCTGGATTTATTATTTATTTATTAAAAACTAAACATGGATGAATGATTATTTATTAACGAGCTTGGCTGGCAGTAGAATTTTTGGTTATCTTTAAGACATGTTCGCACAAAATATATTACATGAATATTTAAATTTACTTGTAAAAAATCATTGAAAATTTTTATATAGTTTATAAGATTCATATCTAATTATCTTTAAAATGGCAGAAGTTACAGTTATCAAACTTATTTTATTTTTTTTATCTACAAATTTTTATCTAACATTATTAATAATGAATGTTGAATGAATCCATTTTAACTAGCATATTTTAATATAATTCGTTTGATAATTTAACTATTTTGTAATATTTGACTCTATACTTTTTATTTATCTATTTATTCCCGATAAAAAAAAGGATAAAGTTTTTACAGTGTATCAAACTATTCATTATATAACATACGTATATAATTTTTTTTTAGAAGATAAGCGTTTTACATATGAGCTATAATATGTAAAATAAAAATAAAATATATGTAATAAAAACCTCAAGAGATTTATATTCTTTTCCCTCTTCAAATTTTTTTATAAAAAAAAATTAATTTATATTTTATATTGCATTACATATTATAAATAGTAATCATATTTAAATTTATATGTAAAATACTATAGAAAGGGAATAATTAGAATATTATATTATTTTATTTATACTAGTATAGAAAATTATGATAATTTATGTGGCTAATAATATCAAATAATTTATAGATATATAGTTATACACATATATGTTATATTAAATATAATGATTATTATGCACACATTTAGTTTCTAGCATCTATGTACTAAGATAAAGTGTTATGTCACGAGGAAGGATAATTTTAAGAGTTAGAAAATTTGTTGCTGAAGAATTGAAAGTTATCAATAATCTTTTTTTTAAAATTCTCTTTAGAGGTTTTTTTCCCTTTTATAAATAGATTCGGTGTTTTTAATTAATATCTCATTATTGTATACTTAATTTTTATTCAAATATATTATTAAATGTTTCAGACAGAAATGCGAAGATTAAATTATTATTTGTTATATTGTCATTTATTTGTCCAG